GATAAAATACTGGTATTTATTTATAATGAGATTTATTGCAATTTTGCCTTCTTACTTTTTCTTTGTTCATTAACATCTATTTATATGTTTAAATTTTGCTTTGGCTCCTCTGGTGCTTTAAGTGCTGGAGCCTGTGGTTCTCAAACAGAAAAGTGCAGACTGTATACTCAGGCTGAGCCACAAATATGTCATATGATGACCTCAGAAAAATCTTAAATTATGTTGTACAGAGCCTGAGGTTTTGATTGTAAGACAACTGTCCCACACTTTGAATGCCTAGCCACATTAATATAATGTGATAATCCATTTTTCTCTTATGGGTGCCACATGACATATATTTACTTGTCCTAATTAAATTGATTTAAAAATAAACTCTAAGAATGTGGTGGCATGCCTGCAGCTTTCCTAGAGACCAGCAAAGTCAGATCTGGAAGTCACTTTTCTGAGAATATTACAACTTGACCAGGCCATTGCAACCTCGTTTCCATCTTTATTCTCAAAACCTTGGAGGAAATCCCCAAGTAACAGAAGGATTTTTATAAATGAAGTCAGTTCTCTGTTTTGCTGTCCCTTAAAGATTCATGCTTACTCACCTTGGAGTTTCATTCCAGTTGCAGAATCCATTCATCATTCCTTTAACAAATATTTTCCCTCACTTACTTCAGTTATTTTTCTATTTTATCTTATTTCCCAAGCCCATCCACTTCCTTTTGTAAGCAGCCAATCTGATGTGTGTAATGTATATCTTTGTGTTTGTGCTTTTGCAAAATGTATACTGCTGTCTGCATGCGTGTATTTTTTATTTTTGTGTGTTAGATATTATATTTTGCGTGTTAGATATTTTTGTGTTCAGTATCTAATTTCTTTCATACCTCTTATACTCTGCACTACATTTTTGGATACAACTGTATTGCCATGTACAGCCCATCCATCATTTCTAATTATTTTATAATTATTACAAACCCTTTTGCTAACTATTAGGTATAAAGGGTTAAAGAAGAAAACTCATGGTTTCCCTTTCCACAGCGCTCACATACTAGTTTAGAAAAACATTTTTAAAAACTACACATACAGTATGGTGAGTGCTTATTATTCTTTTTTGTTTTCAAAAATATCTATCAAATGCTTTCCATGTGTTAAATATGACGTTAAGCACTATGGATAAAATAGAGAACAAGGCAGTAGTGATAACTGTCCTCAGGAAGCTTACATGCTAGAGGATTATCCAAGCCTTGTAGATCATGGAAAGTATTTAAGTTCAGTGGCAAATAACTAAATGGTTTTATGCAACAGAGTACGATAAAGAAATTTGTATTTTTATTCTGGATGAAGTATGAATAATGGGTTAGACAGAAGCAAGACTAGACTCAAGAAACAAGTTAGTTGTAGCAAAGCAATTGAGAAACTATAGTGACTTCAACAGGGCTGGTAGCACTGGAACAGAAAAGAAGAGAGTGACGTGACATATTTTGGAAACAATACAGACAGGATTTGATGATAGATTAATTATGAGGGGTAAAGAGGAATCAAGTCATGTCCCTGAGCTTCTAGTCTAGAAACAGAGATGGAGAAGTCTAAGCAGGGATCAGGTTTTTGGGAAGAAAAGCAAAGTCCTGTTTGGGTGATGATGTCCATGTGGCATCTAAATGGAGGTGTCAAACAGGCAATTGAGCATATGGAGCTGATTCTCAGAGGAGAGTTATGGACTGAGGATGCATATTCAGGAGTCATCACATATGGATAGTCTTTAAAATCATGGAAATGAGTAAGAAAGTAAAGAAAGGCAAAGGGGGCCCAGTACAGATCCCAAATGTTTGGAGACCAGATGGAAGAGAAGGAGTCAGCAGGGAAATTATTAACAAGTGCTCAGGGAGGATCCACTGTGTTTGGGTCATTTAGGTGTCTTTGGCTAATGCCCTTAGCTAAAGCTGTTTTTATGGAAAGATATTTAAAAAGGGTGCCTATATGGAATGGTGTAAATCAGGAAGTAGAGATGGTGCATGCAGACAAATCTTTAATGAATATGGGATGAAGGGGAGAAAATAAGGTAGGGCCATATCTGAAGGGAAATTTTAGATTAAGAATTTTTTTTTTAGGTAAGTGAGACTTGAGCATGATTAAAACATGATACAAAGGTGCATAGATAGTGGAAGTTTCCTGAGACACAGAAGGAGATAAAATCCAAGCTCGGAGGCAGGGTCCAGCTCCTAGTGAGAGGAGGGGCTACTCTGGGTTGATAATACCCACTCCATGCCTTTCTCTGAATACCATTTCACTGGCAAAATGAGATAAGAGGAGGAGCTAGTTTGAGAGCTCTGTTGAGATGGGTTTCACAATGAGCAGAAGGCCAAGGACCTACTCCTTGAAAAGTAATTTGTTCAAAGTTCACTGTCAAAAACTCTAGGCCTCAAAACAAGAAGACATCTATAGAATTTAGCAGATAATCAGATTCGATATTGTCGCAGGGCAAATTTGGGTTGAGAGAAGGCTGTCTGGTGGAAGAAAATTACTCCCTTCTGTCTGGGAAGAGACTACAACAGGCTTTGACAGAATCCCAGATAAATTGGGCAGTCTTTCATTATATTTATCAAAAAGCTGAAAGCTCCCTGCTTTTTCAGCTTAAGCAGGCATATGGAGCAGAAGACAGATTCTCCAGGATAAATAAAATTCAGGAACATCAGAAACAAGTGGGAGTGACGAACCAAATGGGGCGTGGTCAGAAGACACACTAAGGCCTTTTAGCATTTCGTTGGTCCTTGGCCCGGGCCTACCCCTCTGGAGAACTTAGCTGTGAGTCTGCTAAGTCCTGTGATGAATTTTCTGCTTAGGCCTGGGAAACAACCACACACAAATTAAACAGTATTTAATAACAGCTAAAGGATAGGTGTAAATATATCTAAAAATTATTTTTTTAAATGTTAGGCCAAAGGGTACAAGTGTTTAATTTCCTTAATCATAGTATTCTCACAAATTAATACTAGTGTTTTGGCAATTTCTGAGTTGACTTCTTATACACAGCAATAATTTTACCAAATCACATCTTATGTTTTGTTTTTCATATCTTTCAAATCTTTATGTCATTAAGAAACACTGGTAGTTGAGTCACAAAGTTATACCCAAGAAGCCAATACAGCAGCATTGTAGCCAGAGTAGCTGAAAGGAGATGAACCATCTTTGCAGTGTTCGATTCTCAAACCCAAACTTATAAAATGATATTAGGGGTAGTAAATAGAAGGGCAGTATATTCTGTTACAAAGAAAGCTAACTTTGAACCAGTCTCTTAGTGCTATCCTGCTGCTCACATAGAGGTATGATCATTTTGGGCACGTTGCTAAACTCCTCAGTCTCTTCATCTGTAGAGTATCCACTAGGTACTCAGGAATTTTTAAGATCTCTCCCAGTTTTAAAATCCCTTACTTTGATGTATTAATCAGGATTCATTCAGTTCTAAGGGACAGAAAGAGACCGCAAACTGACTTCAGTTAAGAGGGGAGATTTATTGGTTCACATAACTGCAAAGCTACTGGCAGCCTGCATAGCACCTTCTGAGAATAGAAAAAAGGGGATCCTGAGTGAGCATTTGGCTTGGCAAGCAATGGGAACTTTTAGTAAAAAACAAAACAAAGCAAAATGAAACAAAAAAAATAAACAAGTATCTTTCTCTGAATAGACACACCTTTACTCCCAGATGCACACAACAGATTTCAGCACCCGTTTACCCCTTTGGCTGGGAATGCTTTGCAGTTCACAGTTGGCTCAACTCTATATAGTGGTCCTGAATCCCGGGGTAGACTGGTATCATTGCCAGCTGGATCGAGGGACTCGAACACTGTCACCAGGACTTACTCTTTCCTCTTGGCTCTGCTTTGGTTGTTGTCGGATCCACCCCTCACCCCGTGTGTGTGTGTGTGTGTGTGTCTGTGTGTGTGTGTGTGATAGAGAGAAATTAAGGAAGAGAGAAGGAGAAAGAGAGATCCGTGACCAAGCTGGGTCATATGCTGAATTCTTAAATCTGAGGGTGGGGCTGGGGTCCTGTCAGACCATATGGATTGAGAGAGCAGAAGCCTCAAGGTGCTGTTCCTAGAGAAAGGAGATGGATCCTCAGCTGTAAAAGATAATCCATGTCCTTTTACGTATCTCTGTGGTTTTCAATCAGCTTACCAAGTAGTCTTAGATGATCTGAGGAATCCCCCTCTGAAGTTTTTACATCGGCAAAAACTTTGACATTTATATTACCAATGCTGAAAATGGAGTATATTTGCACATTGCTGGTGGCATCATCCATTGGCACGAGGCTTTGGAACTCTATTGAGTGATTCTGATCAATAGTCATAAAATCTGCTTGTATCATGCGGTTTAGTAATACCCCTGAAAACTTATTTTAGGGAAATAACCCAAATTTTAAAATTCATGTATGTGAAAATGTTTATTCAACGTTATCTATAATAACAAGTTGGAAATGGCCTAGATGTTGACCACCAGGGAATAGATAAGTCAATTAAAACTAAATAAAATGTTGAGTAACCATTAAAATGGCAATTATAAAGGTTTTATGGTAAGTGAAAAAAAGTTATGTACAAAATTATATAAACTATTTGATGACTACCAAAAGAAAGGTAAGCATATAGATAGCCTAGAAAGTAATGCCTAAAAATGGAAATCAGGTCTGTGTTTCCAGTGGAGGGATAATGAGGAAAATTGTCTTGTCTTTAAATTTCTGACAGTGTTAGTATAATATTGTTTTATAATAAATAAAGTTAATTGAACTTTATTAAAAGTTCAATAAATATTTTATTAAACAAAAATAAATAAACACACCCCTGAGTTCTGTGGTGAGAAGATTTATTTTCAGGGACTCTGACCTGAAGAGAGGTCTTTTTGAAAAATTTTGCTGGAAGGCTCAGAATGTATATATCTGCCACAGGCCTTGATTAATATTGTTCAAAGGAAGATAAAGCGGAAAAGGGCAGTTATGGGGGAAAAGGAAAGAGAAAGTTGACTTTAAAAAGTTAATGTTTTAATTGCATGAGTAATACATAAATACATTCTCATTCTAAAACATAAAAAGATTACAGCTAACATATCAGCTAAGGCTGAAGTCCTCTTTGACATCTGTCATAATCTGCTCAGGCTCCCATAACAGTATACTACAGACTGTGTGGCTTAGACAACAGACATTAATTTTCTCACAGTTCTGGAGGCTGGAAAGTCCAAGATCAAGTTCTCACAGCATTTGGTTTCTGGTAAGGGCTCTTTTCCTGGCTTGCAGATGGATGCCTTCTTGCCTTCTCACTGTATCTTCACATGGACTTTCCTCCCTGCTGTGCAAGAAGAGAAAGAGAAAAAGAAAGAGATTGAGGAAGAGGAGAGAGAGTTCTCTGGTGTCTCTTCTTTTTTTTTTTTTTTTGAGATGGAGTCTCACTCTGTCACCTAGGCTAGAGTGCAATGGCGCGAGCTCAGTTCACTGCAACCTCCATCTCCTGGGTTCAAGTGATTCTCCTGCCTCAGCTTCCAGAGTAACTGGGACTACAGGCGCCCACCACCACACCTGGCTAATTTTTGTATTGTTAGTAGAGACAGGGTTTTGCCATGTTGGCCAGACGGGTTTCAAACTCCTGACCTCAGGTGATCTGCCTGCGTTGGCCTCCCAAAATGCTGGGATTACAGGCATGAGCCACTGTGCCTAGCTGTGTCTCTTCTTATAAGGACAATAATCCCATCAATTCAGGACCCCATCCTGCCCCTTCTGACCTCATCTAACCCTAATTACTTCCTATTCCAAATGCAGCCATACTGGGGGTTAGGAATTCAACATATGAATTTTGGGGGTACACACATGTTCAGTCCATAGCAATACCCCCATGTACCTAGATGCTTGTTGCCCATTTCTGACCTCTATAATCAAGTTTTTTATTATTTATTTATTTATCTTTTTATTATACTTCAAGTTCTAGGGTACATGTGCACAACATGTAGGTGTGTTACATATGTATACGTGTGCCATGTTGGTGTACTGCACCCGTTAACTCGACATTTACATTAGGTATATCTCCTAATGCTATCCCTCCCCCTTCCCCTGACCCCACAACAGGCCCCGGTGTGTGATGTTCCCTACCCTGTGTCCAAGTGTTCTCATCATTCAATTCCCACCTATGAGTGAGAACATGCAGTGTTTGGTTTTCTGTACTTGTGATAGTTTGCTCAGAATGATGGTTTCCAGGTTCATCCATGTCCCTACAAAGGACATGAACTCATCCGTTTTTATGGCTGCATAGTATTTCATGGTGTATATGTGCCACATTTTCTTAATCCAGTCTATTATTAATGGACATTTGGGTTGGTTCCAAGTCTTTGCTATTGTGAATAGTGCTGCAATAAACATACTTGTGCATGTGTCTTTATAGCAGCATGATTTATAATCCTTTGGGTATATACCCAGTGATGGGATGGCTGGGTCAAATGGTATTTCTGGCTCTAGATCCTTGAGGAATCGCCACATTGTCTTCCACAATGGTTGAACAGTTTATAGTCCCACCAACAGTGTAAAATCATTCCTATTTCTCCATATCCTCTCCAGCACCTGTTGTTTCCTGACTTTTTAATGATCACCATTCTAACTGGTGTGAGATGGGATCTCATTGTAGTTTTGATTTGCATTTCTCTGATGGCCAGTGATGATGAGCATTTTTTCATGTGTCTGTTGGCTGCATAAATGTCTTCTTTTGAGAAGTGTCTGTTTATATCCTTTGCCCACTTTTTGATGGGGTTGTTTGATTTTTTTCTTGTAAATTTGTTTAAGTTCTTTGTAGATTCTGGATATTAGCCCTTTGTCAGATGGGTAGATTGTAAAAATTTTCTCCCATTCTGTGGGTTGCCTGTTCACTCTGATGGTAGTTTCTTTTGCTGTGCAAAAGCTCTTTAGTTTAATTAGATGCCATTTGTCAATTTTGGCTTTTGTTGCCCTTGCTTTTGGTGTTTTAGTCATGAAGTCCTTGCCCATGCTTATGTCCTGAATGGTATTGCCTAGGTTTTCTTCCTGGGTTTTTATGGTTTTAGGTCTAACATTTAAGTCTTTAATCCATCTTCAATTAATTTTTGTTTAAGGTATAAGGAAGGGATCCAGTTTCAGCTTTCTACACATGGCTAGCCAGTATTCCCAGCACCATTTACTAAATAAGGAATCCTTTCCCTATTTATTGTTTTTGTCTGACCTCCATAATCAATTTCTAAGTACAAGCATGTATTCAGATTTTTTTCTAAAACAGAAAATAAAATGTACGCATGGATTTATGAAGTTATTTTTATTCTGTGCACTTTAAAAAATCCTCCGGTACATAGGCTTATTTAACTTGTTTTTTGTAAAATATATCTTGGTGAATTTTCATAGTAGTATATGTGTAGTTGTTATTTTTTAACTGCTGCATAATATTCTAATATATAATTACCAGATCCTATTAACTATTTTATTTTTTATGATTGACATATAATTTGTACACATTTATGGGGTACAATGTGCTATTTTCTTACATGTATACATTGTGTAAAGATCAAATCAGTGTAATTAGCATATCTATCACCTTACACATTTATCATTTCTTTGTGATGAGAACATTCAAAAGCCTGTCTTCTAGGTACTTTGAAGTATACAATCTATTCTTGTTAACTCTAGTCTCTACTATACAATAGAACACAGAACTTATTCCTATCTAACAGTAACTTTGTAACCATTGACTAATCTCTGCCCAGTCTCTTAACAATTTTAAATAACTATCACCTATTGATAATTATTTATTTCTTTTTTTTTTCAGTCACCAACAATTCTGCGATGAGAATCTTTATACATGCGTTTTTGTGTACAAAGGTGAATGTTTCTCAAAGATGTCTTGCTGGGTCACAGAATATGTACATTATAAATTTTAATAGATACTGTCCAATTATCCTCTAAGGTGGCTATGCCAATCTATTTTCTCACTAGTAATTTACGAGGTTGCTTGAACATTTGGTATTATCAACATCTATTTTTCAACACTTGGTATTATCAAACTTTAATATCTTTGCCAATCTGATGAGTACAAGAAAATATTACGTTACTGCTCAAATGTGTATTCCCCTGATTGATGTTGAAGTTGAACATCTGAAATATATATTGACCAATTTCATTTCTTCCTAAGTATTGCCCCTTTATGTGTTTTTGCCAATTTTTCCTATCAAATAGTTTATCATTCTTATTAAATTTGTATAACTCCCTTATATATTCTATATGCTAATCCTTTGTCTGTAAATTAGGCTTCAAATATTTTCTCTTAATCTGCCTTCTGTCTTTTTACTTTATTTATGGCATATTTTGCCTTGGAAAGCTTTTATTTTGAAAATAGTCACAATTTCTAATTTTTCCCTTTACAGGTTTTGCTTTTAGTATCGTAAAAAGGCTTTCTCTCCCCCAAGATCATAATTGTGTTACCTCATATACGCATTTAACCCTCATATTTTTAACCCTGATATTTTTTGTTTTTCTTTTATTTTTAGATATTTAATCCATCTGAAATTTATTTCCGAAAGTGGTGTGAGATAGGAATTAAGTTTACTATTTTCCAAGTGAATAGTCAGTTATCCCAGTGCAGAAAGTTGATTTTTATTGTTGCTGTTGTTAGAAGCTCATACTCTTAAGAAGAGAAAATATTTTTGTATTTCACTTTTTCTGGAACCAGCTCAAGAGGAAAATCAACTGGTGTACACAGCCATGCCCAACACTGTCCAGAAGAAATTGACCACACACTTGGAAGCACAGAACCTCCGGTGCATTCATTCTTCATGCAACAGACATAGGTTGTAAGTATAATTTTAGTCAGGTTAGACATTAAGCCTGAATCAAGAGCTTTCTTCAACATTGATCCCTCTCAAAAGTAAATAATCTTTTTCACAAATCAAATTACCAACCTCTGCTTTATCTCTTTTGTAATTAAGATTTTCCTATAATTTGTTTTTTGTTTGAATGAGTACACATTTAAATGTAAACAATTTGCTGAAATTATGTTAGAGAAAGATTCGTTATAACATTATACACATTTTGGACCAACCTATATTTTGTTAAATTAACAGTAACCTTAAACAACGCATGCCTCAAAGACATTTTGGACTTATGTGTATTTTCCCTAAGAGCTAAAACAAGGAACCAACTGCGTAGAAGATGTGTACCCTCTTTGCCTGACCGTGCAGAGCAGTAGGTGCGCGGGTGCTGACTCTGCCTAGGCCACTTCACACCTATAAAATTTCGGCCAAGTCTTCTTAATATTTGGTTGCCTCATTTGCCCTGTCTGCTGAATGAAAATCATAAAAAGACTTACATATTAGAATCATTATTATAAAGACTGAATGGGGTAATACTCCAAAGCTCTTAGAATAGTATCCACATGGCCATTGTTTCAGTGTTTGGGGAAGATTTCAGCCCAGAAGGGTGCTGCTTTGATAATGTCCTACTTTTGTCTTTTTAAAAACTTTGCATGTTTTCAGTTTATCTTCTCTTTTCCATTATCACCACTTTTTTGGTGTGTATTTTTTTAAAATAGAGTCTTTGTCCCAAATTCATTATCAAAGAAAGTTGCAAGGTGTCTTTGTGACAAGCACTTTGATCCCCACACCCAAGTTTGATTGCAAGGAAATGTAAGCCTCAATTATGGGCTCTTTCACAGTCACCCTGGAAAGTTGACCCCAGGCCTGAATTACGCCAATGCAGAAGACACTGGGACAATTGATGGGGAAATCACACATTCCCCCATAAAGCTTCAAGAGCATGCTTGCCATGTTTATTCACTAGGGTCCTTTTTGTACTCCAAACACTTACTGCTTGGAGATTTCAGATACATAATCTCAAAAGAAAAAAAAAAGCTCAGGGTTGCCTGAGCTCACCTGGATTTTCTAGGTCTCAAGTCTTTGCTTTTTTACACATATGCTGCCTCCCCAAGAGCCAAACAATGTCTCAGCAGAGTCCCTCATTTTACAGAACCAGGTCTCTGTGCCCCTGTAGGGGCTTCTCTGTGAACCCCGTCGTGGCAGAGCAGGTTTCATGTTTTTGCATCTACCCTGACATTAATAAAGTCCTTGTCACCCAAAAATGGCCACAAAGTGCTTGGGATCCTTTTGCCTGCCATAGTAGGGGTGAAGTAGGAGATAGAAAGATGAGTCAGTGAAGACACTGAGGATATGGGAGGCCTTGTTCATTTTGGAGAAGTCCCAGAGAAGAAAAGACTATAAAAAGGAGGTTTAGAAGGCAAGAGATGGGTGGGAGTCACAGTTAGGGGACAAGAAGCACACAGCTGTATAG